TAATCCTATCTAGTTCCCATAGAGATGACACCTATTAGAAAGAAAATAGATTAATCATAAGAAAAACAGGGTCAGCTACAGAAGTTGCTTAAGTCACACCAGGTGCAAGCCATAAAATGTTAGCGGGCCTGAAGGCCAAATGATAAGAAAGACTCTTGTGAACGAAACGTATGTGAGTGACATCCTGTTTCTGTTGAAGGTCAAGTTGCTGTAATGTTTTGAGATGACCTGTCTGTAAGCAATATGCACTTCCCCCAAAAAGATGTTGTTAAGGGTAAAAAGGGGCCGTGCAGAAATAAACTCCAGACTCAGCACCCGAACTTTGTCTCACTGTCTCTCCCTCATTCGCCGATGCCATTCATCCTGAGGATTCCCCTGGATCCTGCTGTGGCTGGACCCCGGCAGAAAAGGACGCCTACTTTACACTATACACAGAAATCAACTCCAGATAGATAGGGTTTAAGTACAAATTTTCTTAAACAAGACACAGAAAATGAAAAAATGCAAAACATACACCATAACTTCTGCTCATCAATAGACATCTTTTAACAAGTGAAAACACAATCTACTAACTGGGAGAAGATACTTATGATACATATACCTGAGAGAAGAGTAATAAAAATATGTTTAAAACATCTACAGATCAATGAAAAAGACAATAAATAAATAGAATAAAGGGGAAAACATAAGCACAGGTATTTTTGAGAGAAAATATATTGCTAAAAAAGAAATCAAATGTTGCTCAAGCTTGCTAGTAACCAGGACTCTCAAGACCATAGTAAAGTATGTTTGAAAGTGAAAGTTGCTCAGTCGTCTCTTACTCTTTACAACCCCATGGACTGTACACGGAATTCTCCAGGCGCTTCCCTTCTCCAGGGGATCTTCCCAACCCAGGGATTGAACCCAGGTCTCCCGCATTGCGAGCCGATTCTTTACCAGCTGAGCCACCAGGGAAGCCCAAGAATACTGGAGTGGGTAGCCTATCTCTTCTCCAGGGAATTTTCCCGACCCAGGAATCGAACCAGGGTCTCCTGCATTGCAGGTGGATTCTTTACCAACTGAGCTATCCCGGAAGCCCAAAGTATGTTTATGCCCATTTAATTGGTAAATGTCAAGAAATCTGACAACATCAAGCCTTAGAAAAGATGTGGATTAATGGGATATGTTATACATTGCCACTGGGAGTGCTAACTGGACCAACAACTTTGGAGAACAATTTACCACCATTTTGAAAAATTAGGTATTCACACACCTTATATATAAAGCACAATAATTTCAGTTCTTTGTTGATATCAGAAAATCCTTTAGTATACTGATACTCAGTGACTTTATGAGAATGTTCATAGTAGCACTATTTGTAAAAGCAAAAAAAAAAAAACACCTTGGAAACAACCAAAACAACAACTAACATGAGAATGAAGGAATAAATTGTGACATATTCCCACAATGGATGACTACATAATAATGAAAAAGAAGTAATAACATGGATGCTGTAACAACTGCTACTGTAACAATATGGATGAATCTCATAGACACAATGTTTAGTAAAAGAACAGAAAATAAATTAACTAGAGCCACACGTAAGACAGATGGATATTATTAATAATGTTGACTCTAAAAACAAACTATACTCCTGGGTATATACTTAAGAGAAATGAGTAATTATTTTCCCCAAATTATATGTGCAAGAACGTTTGTAATAACTTTATTCATAATGGTTAAAACCTGGAAACAAACTAAATGCCCATCAATAGAAGAATGGATAAATAATGGTATATTCCTACAATAAAATAATCCATAACAATGAAAAAGAACGGATAATTGCTAAGCAAAACATCATGGATAAGTCCCATAGAAACAATCCTTAGTGAATGAAGCAAGATATAAAAGACAATGATCTGATATAAGTGATTGCATTTATATGAAAATCAATACAGCTAGGCAAAAATAAATCTTTGATAACAGAGGTTAATTTCTTTCATTGGTATTAAAAGAAGGAGAAGGCATGAGGGGGTTTTCTGGGTTTTGGAAATGTCTATAGTTCAGTCTAGTTATTAATTACATAGATATATACATATATAAAAATCCATTGAGCTAAACATTTAAGATTTGTGCACGTTACTATAATGTAATTTATACCTAAATAACTTTAAAAATACAAGATCCAGAAAATAATATAATATTTTACCTTTTTATAAAATTCAAAAATCAGTGCTACTGAATATAATATTCATGTATGATAAAATAAGAAAAGAAAGAAAGAGGGAAGAAAGGAAGGGGAGAAAAGGAAGAAAGTGGGAGGGAGAGACATACATAAAACATAAAATTCAAGATGATGGTCACCTCCAAGGGGAGCAAGATGGTGATTACCTCCAACTGTTTTTTGGATTTGGTGGTAGTTTTATTAGTGTTTGTTATTTCATTTAAAAGCAATTAATTTGTTTAAAATAAAATCTAGGAGAGGACCAGGAATAAACCAATGATGCTAGTTGGTCATGAACCAAGGGTTATGATTAATCTAAATTTTGATATCTGAGGTCATTTTTATGGCACAAATAAGTACCTGCCCACTGATTATTTACCTGATGACATTTCCTAAATTGGTTAAACTTAAGTTAACTCGTGATCCTTCCCGCAGTCTGTCTCCTTCCGATCCTGAAGATTTCTGTCTTTCACTTCCAGCTAAATCTACCAAGTTAATACTGGACTGTTTGGTGAGGTCTCTGTCTAGGAAAACCTGCAGGAAAGCACCACAAGTAATGCTATTAGAGGTGTAGCAGGCTACACGAGAAGTCAATCTATTTTACATTAACATTCTGAAATATTTTTCTAATTGTATTTCACACCCAAAAAAGATATAATAAAATTTGCAAGTTAAAATGTCATTCTCTTTACGATGACATTTTACAGTAACATTATTAGGTCCAAACAACTCAGTTGCCCCTTCCCTTCTGTAATGTTATTTCCAGTTATGTATTAGATACCAACTATTGTCCTAATATTTCTGTAATCATTAAGTGCTTTTTCTTCTGGCCATGTCAGGTGGCACGTGGGACCTTAGTTCTCTGACAGGGATCGAACATGTGCCCCCTTCAGTGGAAGTGCAGAGTCCTAACCACTTCCCAATCAATAAATATTTTAAAGATACTGTGAAATTTGCAAAATAATTAACTGTTCAGGATGGTGTAGTCATGTAGTGGAAAGAATGCTACAGGTTCTCTTGCTGTCATGTAATTGTGAGCAAATGATTTAACTTTTCTCACTTGTAAAATTGGGATGATAGCATATTATTGGGATGAGGATAAAGTATAATAGATGTAATGGTTTTAATCATGCCTGACATACACTCAGTTCAGTTCAGTAGCTCAGTCGTGTCTGACTGTTTGCGACCCCATGAACCGCAGCACGCCAGGCCTTCCTGTCCATTACCAACTCCCAGAGTCCACCCAAACCCATGTCCATTGAGTCGGTGATGCCATCCAGCATCCATCTCATCCTCTGTCGTCCCCTTCTCCTGCTGCCCTCAATCCCTCCCAGCATCAGGGTCTTTTCAAATGAGTCAACTCTTCGCATCAGGTGGGCAAAGTATTGGAGTTTCAGCTTCAACATCAGTCCTTCCAATGAACACCCAGGACTGATCTCCTTTAGGATGGACTGGTTGGATCTCCTTGCAGTCTAAGGGACTCTCAGGAGTCTTCTCCAACTTCACAGTTCAAAAGCATCAATTCTTCTGTGCTCAGCTTTCTTTATAGTCCAACTCTCACATCCATACATGACCACTGGAAAAACCATAGCCTTGACTAGATGGACCTTTGTTGGCAAAGTAATGTCTCTGCTTATGCTGTCCAGGTTGGTCATAACTTCCCTTCCAAGGAGTAAGCATCTTTTAATTTCATGGCTGCAGTCACCATCCGCAGTGATTTTGGAGCCCAGAAAAATAAAGTCAGCTACTGTTTCCACTGTTTCCCCATCTATTTGCCATGAAGTGATGGGACCGGATGCCATGGTCTTAGTTTTCTGAATGTTGAGCTTTAAGTCAACTTTTTCATTCTCCTCTTTCACTTTCATCAAGAGGCTCTTTAGGTGCTAATATTGCTACTGACACCAATAAACAGAGTATGCTTGTTTTTATCCAGTTAATTTTATCTCCTACCTCTAAAATTCCAAATTAAAAAAATAGCACAGAAAACCATCTATAAAGTCTATGAATGTAACACTTTATATTCATTGTAAATATAGTACATACAAAGTCTATGAATATGGAGTGAATGCTATATTCATATGAAGTCTATCAATGTAACATCTTACCTACATTGTAAAATCAAGTGAATAATAATGAAAAGTTTTCTTGTGTTCTTAGTTGCTCAGTTCTGTCCACCTTCTTTGCGACCCCATGAGCTGTAGTCTGCCAGGCTCCTCTGTCCATGGGATTCTCCAGGCAAGAATACTAGAGTTGGGTAGCCATTCCCTTTTCCTGGGGCTTCCTGACCCAGGGATAGAACCCAGATCTCCTGCATGGTAGGTGGATTCTTTACCGTCTGAATCACCAGGGAAGTTTACAGAGTTCTTTAAAATGTAGTATCTTGGTCTTCTCTGGTGGCTCAGTGGTAAACAGTCTACATGTCAATGCAGGAGACATGGGTTTAAACCCTGGTGCTGGAAGATCCCACGTGCCATGGGGCAACTAAGCCCATGTGCCTCAACTGTTGAGCCTGTGCTCTAGAGCCCGTGGTCCACAGCAAGAGAAGCCATCTCAATGAGAAGCCTGTGCACTACAACTAGAGAGTAGACCCTGCTCACTGCAACTAGAGAAAAGCCTGCATAGCAATGAAGATCCAGCCCAGCCAAAAACAAGATAAATAAAAAATTTTTAATGTAATATTTAAACTTCCCAACATTTCTACAAGGATAACTATTTGTCTCATTTTACAGAACAAGAAGCTGTGACTCAGGAAAGGTAAATTATTTCCCACAATTTCAGAGCTGGTAAACGGAGTCATACATGGTCTAGTGTTCTTCTACCAATCCTGGTTAGAACAGGACAATCTTCATTTATTACTATTTTATCTATTACTAGTGCTGTGGCTTAGGAGAAGGGGGTGGTAAAATTGCTTACCCAGGCTTTATGATAACCATTTCTGAATCAAATTGTCCATAACTGTAGCTATCATTCCCTACATCATTCCCAACCAAGGAGAATGGAGGAGAAAAGTGTGCTTTAGCTTATCAAAGATTCTAGCTAGTGGAGCATTACATGGATGATGTGGTTTCAAAGGCTTTATCTTGGAATTTCAAATTTCAGAAAGACACCTCAGTATCTGTTTGTCCTCTAGGCTCATGGATCTGAAAGCTGACCATCATTATATTGGTGATGCACGGAAGGACTGTTAATAGGAATTCTCCATGACAAACCACAGACTCATTCTCCTATTTCTACAATTTCATCAAACTGGGGGTCAAAACCTGTTTCTCAAAGTATGTAATTTACTTGAGGGAAAACAGCCTTTAGCCCTATGGGCATTTCTGGGACCTTACTAGTGACCCTCTATCAGTAATGGGATCACTTAGGCCAGAGTGGGGCATGGATGTGGCGGGAGGGAGGCAGGAAAAGACAAGTGTCTTACTTTCTCCTGCTTCTGACCCTATAGTCTATGTTTGGAAATAGCTATCTTAATCCATAGATCAAATCTAAAAAAAACTCCATAATACTCAGCAGCCCATAATGCTACTGGGAACACATCCCCAGACCCCCTTGGTGAGAGGTGGGGACACTGGCATCCAGGTGAATCTCACCTGCTTGAACTGAATGGTGATGACCATGTGAGACCGGCTGCTGCTGGCATTCATGCTGGTCGGAGCTGTGGTCCTTATTTTTGCTCCTTGTTCCATCAGTCTTTCAATCTGGGCATAGTTCTCACAAGGCACTGACTTCAGACCATCCACATAAAAGCCCAGCTGTTGGTCCTCCCTTACTTTTAGCCCTCCGGGTTTCTTGATCCTGGATAACAAATCTCTTACCTGTGGCAAAACAAGTAATGGAAACTTCAGGAAGGCACGGAGTTTTGTTTACTTCACTGCTATAGCTCCTTGAATATATTACATGCTCAGTAAATATATATTGGATGAATAAATAAAGGTTAAAGTTCTGTAGGTACCAGACAGCCTCATAGCTTAGATAAGTAAGAAACAGAGAAATGACAAGTAAGAAAATAGAGAAACCTGTTGTAGTTAGTGAAATCAGAAGCTTTTTTTTTTTTTTAAGGAATTCAGTTTTATTATTTTCAAGTACCTAGAGCACTTCAGGGCTTCCTGGATGACTCAGATGGTAAAGAATCTGCCTGCCAATGCAGGAGACGTAGGTTCAGTCCTTGGGTGTGGAAGAGCCCCTGGAAATGGCAACCCACTGCAGTATTCACAGTTTGGAGGCAGAGCCAGAAGTAAGAAACCCATGGACAGAGGGGCGTGGTGGGCTACAGTCCATGGGGTCGCACAGAATTGGACATGACTGAATGACTAAACAACAACAAGAGCAGTTCAACCAGACTGCAAACTCCCTGAGGGCAGGAGTTGACTAGTAAATCCTAACATAGCTCCTGACACATAGTAGGCACCCAGTGAAATGCTTCTGGAGAGAACAGTGTAACTGGAGCTAAGTTAACAAGAAATGTTTAATACATTGCATGTAGGATATTGGGGGAACTGCTTCTATAGCTTGAAAAAAATTTTAGTTCCATCTACAGTTGTCTGACTTTAAATGAAAGTGAAACTGTTAGTTGCTCAGTCATGTCTGAGTCTTTGTGACCACATGGAGCCTGCCAGACTCCTCTACTCATGGAATTCTCCAGGCAAGAATACTGGAGTGGGTAGCCATCCCCTTATCCAGGGGATCTTTCTGACCCAGGGATCGAATCCTGTCTTCTGTGTTGCAGGCAGATTCTACCATCTAAACCACTGGGGAAGCCCCAGTGGTGATTTTAAAGCATTTGTGGTTGAAAATATTGTTTTTTTATTAACCTAAATATGCTCCTAGTAATCTTGTTAACTCTTGCAGTTGATTAGCAACTCCGTTGTGGATAACATAAAAATAAATGATCTCTTTCTGAATTGTCACAAATTTTGTATCACTAAATAATGAAGTCTTACTTTTCTAAGAACAGTTATAAATGAAACTTAATTAAAAGTTCATAACATTCAAAGTACCTAATGTTCTGCCTAGGTTAAATCATGCTGCCACAAACGCTACCACTCTGAATCTCTACTTCCAAGAAACTTATCTAAGCCAAACAGGATTTGCTATAGGCAAACCTAACACAAGAATATAGGTAATTCTTTGGATCTCATTATTATTATTATTATTATTATTATTATTATTATTATTATTGGAGATTTGTGTGATGTCACACTTAGATCGTGGCCTCAGGTGAAAGCCCATGTTGCATTTCCCCCCAGAAAGCCACTTCTGCCCAGGCATAGCAGGTCGAGCTATGGGAGCCTGCTAGAGCCTGAGCTCTGCAGAGGAGAGTTGGTGTTACATGATGCAGTGAGGTCTGGGCTGGGAATCTGACCTGGGTTCTTACTTCTGGTTCTGCCTCCTAACTGTGAGAGCTTTGGAGAGTCTCCTACACTGCCAGTTTTTTCCTCATAAGAGGATGGGAATGGACTAAATGATTTCTAAGATCTCCCCCAGCTCAAATATTCTGTAGCTTTAAGTCCTAGAGTCAAGTTGTTCGGGAAACACTGACAGAAACCACTGCCCTGGGCCAGGCACAATGATAACCATTTGCAGGAGCTGTCTCACACCAGGAGGCCCCTCCTGATAAGGAACTTGGTGCTGGCGCAGAAAACTAACTGGGAGAATTCAGGAGGGGCCAGAAGGAGAGAGCAGACACCACCCCATAATATGTCTTATTAACCTCCCAGAATCCTTCATGCTGGAGTCCATCTTAGCTGAGAGTTGCTCACACCACAAGGAAGGACCCTGAGTTGTGGGCCAAGCAAGATGACTGGCCAGAGACAACCTAGAAACTAACCCCATCACCACAACACCCCAGACTGCCAGCCACGTGGCAGAGCAGTTCTCCTGGATCCCCTTACCCCGCTGCCCTCCTCCCAGGCGCCCCTTCCCAATAAGGTCTTTTGCTTTGTCCTATGTATCTCTCGGATAATTCTTTTCTGAGGGCTAGATAAGAACCTGCTCTTGGCCCAGGAAAGGGTTCCCCTTCCTGCAACAGAGGCAAGATCACACACAGATTGAATTCAGGCAAGAAAAATTAGGACAGTGGACAGAAGAGCCAGAGATAGGAAGACGTTGAAATGGTGACAACTTCTGCCTTAGCTAGGAAGCCTTTTCTATAACTTCCACTGAGCGATATAAATTGTTAACAAGTGGCATCTAAGGCTGAAGATATGTCTGAATAGGGCTCATTAGAAAAAAAGCTAAGTAGGTTTAACCGGATAGAATGCAAGTGTGAGGGCCCAGAGATGAGGGCAGTTCCTGGCACTGGTCTCCAGGTTGTACCTGGAGATAGAGTCAGTGATTATCATGAGACCTTCCTCACTCACTTCAGCCCCTATGGGACTCTCCTAGCTCTACCTCTATCTGGCACTCCTTCAAATACAACTTCACTCTGCTGCTAGAGAAATCTTCTAAAACCAAGGCTGATTCTCTTATTTCCCAGTTTAGAATCTTTCGCTGATGCTCCATTGTGTGCCAAAGGGCCTTTGCCTTCTGGCAACTGATGTTTAGCTCCATCTCCTGATGCTTCCCCATTCTTACCTCCCTGCATACTTCTAACTCTGGCTACCTAGAGCCCTCACTGTTCCCTTAAACGCCGTGTGCTTTCACATGTTCCTGGACTTGCTGGTACTAACCATGCCACCTAAAATGCCCCCAACCCTCCTCCTCCCGGCTCACCAAACTCATAGCATCTTTCAAGACCCATTCTAACTCCTCTGTTTACAAACAGCACCAACAATCACAGGTAGTATTAGTTGCTCTCTCTTCTATGACTTTTTACCATTCATGCAACATACATGATATATTTTATTACTGTCTGGAGAGGATGTAAAATCTCCCACCAAGCTTATCCATGGCAGAAATCACGTCTTAGGTTTTATTCATCCTCAGAGTCTAGCGTGATGTCTGAAACATTAAAAGTATCTAACAAACTTCACTTTGACTATTGAAGTACTACTGGAAAAATACCAGACTCCTAGCTGGTGAGACATGAAGAGGTTATAAGCATGTCCATGTCCTTGTTTTAGAGATGAGAAAACAAAGTTCCAGAGAGATTATCTTCATTAATAATCAGTAGGGGGTCCACAAGGTGATGCCATTTCCCTGTTCCTTCCATCTGAACTTGGTAACGAAGTGAAGCTGCCTATTTGGTATGAAATAAAGGAGTCATACTGTCTTCCAGGCCCATCACTTTGAAAGAAATAGAAACTTAATCAGTGACTTTAGCATAACAACCCATTTGAATTTGCTATCAACCTTCAACAATAGTAAATGACTCATGGAAGCATATGAGAAACAAAATGGGTATTTTCTCTCCTTAGTATAAAGAGAAAAACATGGACAGATTTATTCCATCAATGTTTATTTAGCAATGATTAAGTGCAAGACTTTGGATAGTGCTTGGAGTTATATAAGAAATCTTAGGATATGAAACTGCCCTTAAGAAACTTACAATTAAAGATACCTTTGTGAATTTATCCATGCAGCAAAACTTAGGGGCATCCATTTTAAACCAAACTATACTAAACTAAACCAAACTAAACCAAATTATACTAAGTATTGCAAATAGAAAGGTGTAATCCTTTGTTCTGGAAATATAAATATGGAAATAAAATTTTATAGTGTAAGGGCAAAGGGAAAGGGTAGAATGAAAAAGGACTTTCTGAACCCCGAGTGTTTGCTTAGCACTACGTCTCAATGTGCAGTCTAGTTTATTGTATTTATTTTAAACAATATTTATTTATCTAGCTGTGCTGGGTCTTAGTTCAGCATGGGGGATCTTTGATCTTCACTGCAGCATGCAGGATTTTTAGTTGCAGCATGTTGGCTCTAGTTCCCTGACCAGAGATCAAACCCTGGCCTCCTGCATTGGGAGTGTGGAGTCTTAGCCACTAGATCACCAGGGAGGTCCCCGCTTGTGTCTTATTTTAAATTCTCTGCTTTATAAATAAGCAATCTGAGCTCTGAGATAAAGTAGTTGTCCAAAGTCATAAAGCTAATAACTGAGAGAGCTGGGATCTGAAACCATATTCCAACTATGATCAGATTTGCTAAACGGCTGAAAAAAAATCAAAAGAAAAATATTTTGTGACACATGAAAATTATGTGAAATTCAAGCCTCAGTGTCTATAAACAAAGTTGTATTGGTACACAGCTCACTTACACTTATACTTCACTTACACTTCAGCTGTGGCCATTTTTGCTCTCTGAGGGCAGAGTACAGTAGTTGTGATAGATAATTTAAGGCCCTCAAAGTCTAAAATACTTTATGTCTGTACTTTGAAGATAAAGTTTGCCAACCCCCATACTGAAGCCAACTGCTTTAGGATGTATAGATAAGCTGACATTTGAACTGGACTTGAAGTTCAGTGGTTTCTCTAAGACCAGAGAAACCAAGAAGGGTATTCCAGGCAGAGGAAGGATAGATGTAGGAGGGAAGGATGTATTGTGGAAAGGGAAAAAGGTCCCATGTGGCTGATTCAAGGAGTGTGTAGAGATAGAAGGACATAAGATGAAGTGGAACCTAGCTAAAATGAGGTAGGTTAGGGCTGGATAGCCGACGCCAGGCTAAAGGGTGTTGACTTTATCTGTAGGATGGATGGGGGGGAGCCCCTGCCATTTTTTAAGCTGCAGAGAATCACTCAGAATTGTCTGTCAGAAAATATAATCACTGTTACCTGTTCGTTGTAAATTTCCAGCATGCTGAATGTAACCTGTATAGGAAAGAGCATAAAGTAAATTAAGATTCTCTTGAAACAGTCACCTTTGGGAGAAAAAAAAAAGGACTATGGAAACAACATAAATGTACAACAAAGGAAAAAGCTAAACATTAAAATAGTGAAACTCAATTTCACATGCAATATGAGATTCTGCAATAATGTTAATGATGTGGAGGAAGTTCTTAATATAAACCAAAAACAGATTCAAAAGTGTGTGTGTGTTTTGGTCTCGATTGTGAACAGAAAAAAAAGCTTTTTCTTTAATGCTCACTCTCCAATCTGAACATATGCAGAGAAAAAGATCGGTCTTTACTTTACCATGCATTTGGAGCAACGTTAGCCAATCTCCTACCTCCTAAACAGAAGATTGGAGGAAACTGAGTGACTAGTCTAGAGAAAAGGCTCTGAGATACTGACACTTTGCCACCACTATACCCTCCTTGGGAAAAGCTGGCTTGTCTGTTAGCCACCCTTTGGTGAGTCTGGCCAGCCAAACCCCACCTCCCAAGAACTTCCAGCTAGCTTCAGAGAGCATCACAGGTTTAAAATGAACAAATGGGAGGGAAGGTCAAAATGGTAGAACAGGAGGACATGAAGCTTACTTCTCTCCACGCACACATCAGTAATATATCCACATATGGAGCAATTCTCACCAAAATTCAGTTGGAAACTGGCTGAAAGACTCTTACACAACCAAGGCGGGGGAAGAGATCCACACAGAATTAGGTAGGAAAGGAAGAGAAGGAATCAGTTTGGGGTCTGCTCCCCTGGGAGGGACACAGGAGAGGAGAGAAATTACCGGCTTGAAGGGAGTGAGAGGTATGAAAACAAAATGGGCAACCCAGCCCAGGGTCTGTCACTAGTAGCATGAGTCCCCGGAGCAGGCCGGAAACCAGTGGGACTGACAGCGGGCTGTAAGCAACCTAACTCCACTCGTGAGAATGTGCCCACACTTGCTCACTCCAGAAACAAGGCACAGAAGACAGATTAGAACTGCATGGGACTCTGGTCAGTTTCCTGCAACTGCCCTGGCGTGCCCTGCCCCCAGCCAGAGTCCAGTAACCACTCCACCCATCTTGTCTCAGCACTGCTGCCCTCTGCGGGTAAGGGTGCTGGTGCTGGGAGCGGGGAGAACAGACAGAACGCGGGAGCCCTCTGGGACCCAGCCCTCTAGGCTTCTGCTCGGGCAACTTGGGACTCGACGCCGCTCCCTACCGGGCAGTGACAAGCACTGAGACAGGAAAAGCCTCAGCTCACGCCTGGCTCTGGCCCTAGCCCCTCCATTTCCAGAACTTCCCAGACAAGCAAAAACTAAGAGTTTATCAATACTAAGTCAACCCTAAAAGCAATGTTAATAGGTCTTCTCTAAGTGGAAAAAGAAAAGGCTACAACAAGTAAGAATCTATAGGAAACGAAAAATCCCACTAGTAAAGGTAAATATATAATAATGGCTGTGGATCAACCAATTAAACAAACTAGTATGAAGATAAATGGGCTTCCCTCATAGCTCAGTTGGTGAAGAATCGCCTACAATGTGGGAGACCTGGGTTCGATGCCTGGGTTGGGAAGATCCCCTGGAGAAGGGAAGGGCTACCCACTGCAGTATTATAGCCTGGAGAATTCCAAGGACTGTATAGTCCATGGGGTCGCAAAGAGTCAGACACGACTAAGTGACTTTCACTTCACTTCACTTCATGAAAATAAAAGACAAAAAAAATTGTGCAGTCATCTATATTGGCTTTTGAGCAGCGAGCAGTTACCCCACTTTTGGTAACAATATCTCATTGTGGTTTTGAGCTTCATTTCCCTAATAATTAGTGATGTTGAACATCTTTTCACGTCCCTGTTGGTCATCTGTATATATTCTTTGGATAAGTGCTTATTCCTCTGCCCATTTTTAAATTGGGTAGTTTGTTTTTTTGCTGTTGAGTTGTATGTGTTCGTTATATATTTTGAAAATTGACCTCTTATTGGGGTATGATTTGCAAATATCTTCTCCCATTCAATAGGCTGCCTTTTCATTTTAATGATGGTTTCCTTCTCTGTGCAAAAGGTTTTTCATTTTATCGATCCCATTTGTTTATGTTTGCTTCTCTTTCCCTTACTTTTGAGTCAGAGCCACAAAAATATTGCTAAGACTGATTTCAGTGCAGTTACTACCTATGCTTTCTTCTAGAAATTGAATGGTTTCAAGTCTTACATTCAAGTATTTAATACATATTAAGTTAATTTTGTGTATGGTATAAGATGAAGCGAAGTTTTAGTCACTCAGTCACGTCTGACTCTTTGCAACCCAATGGACTGTAGCCTGCCAGGCTCCTCTGTCCACGGAATTTTCCAGGCAGGAATACTGGAGTGGGCTGCCATTTCCTTCTCCAGGGGATCTTCCTGACCCAGGGACTGAACCTAGGTCTCCGGCATTACAGGCAAACTCTTTACCATCTGAGCCGCCAGGGAAGCTCTATGATATAAGATAGTGGTCTAGTTTCATTCTGTTGCATGTGACTGGCCAGTTTTCCCAACACTGTTTATTGAACACATTCTCCTTTTCTCACTGCATGTTCTTCACTCCTTTGTCAAAAATTAATCATCCATATATGTATGAGTTGATTTCTGGGCTCTCAGTTCTGTTCTATTGATCTCTGTGTCTGTTTTTGTACCACTACCATACTTTTTTCAATTTAAAATTTAATGAATTCCTAAATATTTGAAAATATAATTCCAGAGAAATTATTTAAAATCCTACCACTGAAAGAAAAAGATAAAATCACGAAACTTCTAAAAAACACTTTTTGAAAAAGTGAGTATCTGACACTAAAGAATACTGTAATTATTTTTCACTTTTTAAAAAACTTTTTATTTTGTACTGGGGTAGAGCTGATTAATAATGTGGTGATAGATTCAGGTGAACAGTGAGGGACTCAGTCATACATATACATGTATCCATTCTCCCCAAACTCCCCTCCCATCCAGGATGTCACATAACATTGAGCAGAGTTCCATGTGCTTTACAGTAGGTCCTTCTTGGTTATCCATTTAAAATATAGCAGTGTAGTATCATATTTTTTTTTGATCATTATAGTTTCGTAGTATAGTTTTAAACAAGGGAGTGTGATGCTTTCAGCTTTGTTCTTCTTTCTCAAGATTGTTTTGACTATTTGGGATCTTTTGCAGTTCTATACAAATTCTAGAATTTTTCTACTTCTGTGAAATTTGCCATTAGACTTTTGATAGGGATTGTATTGAATCAGTAGATAAATTTTAGTAGTATGGGCATTCAAATAATATTAATTCTTCCAACTCATGAACATGGGATGCAATTCCATTTATTTGTGTCTTCATCAGTTTCTTTCATCAGTGTACTATAGTTTTCTGTGTACAGGTGTTTCACTTTCTAGGAAAAGTAAGAAACTATGTTAAGACAGTTAAGAAACAAGATAATATTCTTAATTTAGAAATAAAAATAAATTAAGATGAGAACACACCTTAAGATGTCTGCTTCTATGACACTCAAAGTGCCTTTAAAAAATATTTTCCTGGGTTTGCCTCCATAGAAGCAGAAAAATTCAACATTTTATTTGATTTTGTAATGATATAAGGATTTTGGTATGGAAAATTAACATTATCCTAAAATAGATATGCTGATAACTTCCACTGGAGGCAAGGAATTTCCAAAATGAAAACAAATTTTTTTTTCCTTAAAGAAGAGATTCTATAATAATACATACCTGGTATTCTTGATTTTTGTCTCGGTTCTCAATTGCTTGAAATAGCTCTTCGCACACATTTGGAATGATACCCTTGTTTGCACCAAACCCAATCATGGAATAGCTTTTTCCAGAACCAGTCTGCCCATAGGCCAAGAGAGTAGTATTATAGCCTTGCCAAGCACTGTCCAGAATTCCTCTGCCAAGATCATGAAAAACCTCTTTCTAGAAAGAAAATCGCAGGTATTATGTTCAGCACAGATTTTTCACAGTACTTTTAAAATCTAACATTCTGGTTTTGAAGAATTCCACCTTAATTAGTATCATTCAACTTACTTGAAATATAACTCAGATGCTATCTTAGAACCAATGGAATAAAGCTGGAAACCAAAAAAAGATTTGTCAGTTTGGAAGATACTGATCACCACGGGATCACCACAGATCTTCAACTAGCTAGTACCCATCAGTAACAGACTTGTGTATTTTACAAAACATGGGATAGGTCTTTAAAATTCAGCAATTAGGCAAAAATTTCAAGGCTGCAAGGGACACAGACCAGCCAAAGTGTTTTCTATTGGGTTGGCCAAAGCATTCATTTGTTTTTATCTGAAAGATGGTTGTAGTAAGCCTTAATAGTCTTTAACTTCATTTGAAAAAATTTTGTTACATTGCATTGTGACAGCTGTCATCTCAGCGTGCATTTATAAAAACTTATCAGAATTTGGTGAATTTTTGTATAACCATTTTAATATTGAAGATGGAAAAATAAAAGCAACATTTTGGCATACTGTGCATATTATTTCAAGAAAAGTAAAAAAAATTATGCAGTGTATGGAGAAGGTGTTGTGGCTGATCAAATGTGTTAAAAGTGGTTTGTGGTTGGTTTCCCTGGATATGTTCCATGGTCGAGTAGACTGCTTGAAGTTCAAGGTCAACTATCACAATTCTTGCAGTCTTTTAAAACTGTCTTTTAAAAACGGAGATAGAATTGACATATAGCATTAAATAGTTTCAAATGTATAGCATAATGAGTTGATATATGTATTTATTGAGAAATGATTACCAGAATAATTTATTGAGAAATGATGACCAGAAGTTCACACCAAATACTTCATAGAGTTAAACATTTTTTTCTTCAATGAGAACACTTAAAATCTACTCTCTTAGCAACCTTCGAATATACAATGTTGGACTGTTAACTCCAGGCATACCTCAGAGATACTGTGGGTTCAGTTCCAAACCATCACAATAAAGAAAGTAATGCGGTAACATGAGTCACACAATTTTTTTGGTTTTCCAGTGCACATAAAAGTTATGTTTACATTATACTGTAATTTATTAAGTGTGCAATAGCATGACATCTAAAAAAATGTATATATCAATTAAAAAATATCTTACTGCTCAAAAATGCTACCCATCATCTGAGTCTTCAAGGAGTCATAATCTTTTTCAATAGTATCATCAAAGATTACTGATCACAGATTACTATGAGAAATAGAAAGAAAAAGTCTTAAATATTTGGGAAAGTTACTAAAATGTGACACAGAGACATGAAGTGAGCAATGTTGGGAAAATGGCACCAATTGACTTAAGCTTGCTTGATTCAGGACTGCCAGAAATCTTCAATTTGTGAAAACAAAAACAAAATGCCTAAATGCTGTATCTGAAAAGTGCAATAAAGCAAAGCACCTGTATAATCACCATGCTATACATTACATCTCTAGGACTTGTTTATCTTACTGGAAGTTTGTAACTTTTGATGACCTTCACCATTTTCACCCAAATACCTGTCTCACCCCACTCAACTCCAACACTGAACACTAAGTCCCTGCCTCTGGAAACCACTAATTTGTTCTCTGTTATCACGTTCATTTTTAAAAATATTCCACATTTAGTATTTCTTTTTCTGTCCAACTTATTTTACTTAGCATAATGTCCCCAAGGCCCATCCATGTTGTTGCAAATGGTGGCATTTCCTTCTTTTTAATGGCTGAATAATATTCTATTGTCTATATATGTGTGTATATATACATATATATTTCTTGGTGGCTCAGGGTAAAGAATCTTGCTTGCAATGCGGGAGACCCGGGTTTGATCCCTGGGTTGGGAAGATGCCCTGGAGACAACACACTCCAGGATTCTTGCCTGGAGAATCCCATGGACAGAGGAGCCTGGTGGGCTACAGTTCATGGTGTTGCAAAGAGTCAGGCATGACTGAGTGACCAAGCACAGAACTGCATATATATATACATTTTCTTTATCAATTATCTTGATTACTGTAGATCTATCTACAGCGGGTTTCAGTTCTTCAAATTAATGTTGGCTACTGTAAGTCCTTTACAATCCCATGTAAATTATTGAAATAGTGTAATTTCTGTAAAAAGTTACCGTTGGCATTTCGATTGAGATTTTTTTGAATCTGTTGATCAATATGACTTCTTAATAATGTTGAGTCTTCTGATTTGTCTTCCTCTTCTTAATGTTTTATGGTGCACAGATTTTGCATAGATTTTGTAAATTTAACCATTTCATGGTTTTGATGTTGCTGTAGATATTTCACAATCTTAATTACAATTGTATTATTGTAATTATATGTGATTATAAGTATATGTAATTACATAAATAAATTACAATCTTAATTTCCAGTTGCTCATTGCTGGCATAGAGAGATGGCTTCTCAGGTGGCTCAGTGGTAAAGAATCCTCTTGCCAATACAGGAGACACAGGAGATGGCGGGTTCAATCCCTGGGTAGGGAAGATCCACTGGAAGAGGAACTGGTAACCCATTCCAATACTGTGGGCTGGAGAATCCCATGGACAGAGGAGCCTGGCGAGCTGGAGTCCATTGGGTCACAGAGTTGGATACAAATAAGCATGCATGTAGCATAGGGAAATTCTATCAATTCTTGTATATTGACCTTGGTTAACAAACTTATTCAGTATAGTAGCTTTTCACCCTCTTTTTCAGCAGATTCCTTAGGGCTGTTTTCATAGATAATTATGTTATCTGCAAGTAGTTATACTTCTTCATTTTCAATCTGCATATCATTCATTTCCTATTAATTGCCTTATTGCCCTGGCTGAGGCCTGCAGGGGATGTTATATAGAAATAATGAGATTGGACCTCCTTGCCTTGTCCCCATTCTGAGGGGCAACACATTCAGTGTTTCACCATCAAAGGTGATGTTACTTACGTATTTGAGGGAAGTTCTATTTCTAAGAGGCTCCCTCCTAATTTCAAATTTGCTGAGAGTTTTTATCATGACTGGGTATTGAATTTCATCAATTGCTTTTTCTGCATCTGATCATATATATTTTCCCCCTCCTGATTCTGTTCATATGATTAATTACATTGATATTCATATGCTAAACTGATATAAAGTCTCACTTTATAATGATGTATTTTAAAAAATATACTGTTGGATTCTATTTGCTAAAATTTTGTTAATAATGTTTGTGTCTATGTTCATGAAGAAGGGTATTGATCTATAGTGTTTTTTTGTAGTATTTGGCTGGGTTTTGGTGTAATATTGGCTTCAAAAATGAATGGTCCTTCTATCATCTACAAGATTTTTTTTTTTTTCTGAATTATCACTACTTCTTCCTTTAGTAGAATTCATAGAAAAGTCATCTGGGCTTAGGTTTTGGGAGCAGAAGTTAAACTATAAATTTCTTTAATAGATACAGGGATACTTGAGTTGTCTATTTTTGTGTAGACTTCAGTAGATTGTATCCATTTCATCTATGTTGTTAAATTTGTTGGCATTAAGTTGTTCATAATATTCTCTTATTATTTTTTAATGTCTGTAAGATACATAGCAATATCTGTTTCATTTCTCATCTTTGTATTTTGTATCTTTTCTCCTTTCTCCCAGGTTTTGGTTTCATTGATTTTTTTTCTATTATTTCACTGTCTTATATTAGTTTTCTTTAATCCCTTTCTTGCTTTTTCTATACTTTTCTTTTTCTAAATTCTTAGGTGGAGGAAGCCTAGGCTGTTGATTTGAGATTGTTCTCTAATATAATCACTTAATGCTCTAAGTCCTGATTTGGCTGCATCCCACAAGTTTTGATAAATGTTTTGATTTTCATTCAGTTCAAAATATTTACTAATTTCTTGTATTCTTTATTCCCTGACCTATGGATTATTTAGAAGACATTTTCTAAATACTAGTGGAGTTTCCTAATAACTTTCAGTCATTCCTTTCTAGTTTGATTCCACTGTGGTCAGAGAAGATACTTTGTATGATTTCAGTTATCTTACATCTATTGGGACTAGTTTTATGATCCAGAATATAATTTACCATAAAGTCCATGCTCACTTGAAAAAAAGTGTGTAGTGCTGTAGCTGAACGGAGGGTAACAAAATTGTTCTATAGTTGTCAATTAGGTTGATAATATTGTTCTGGTCATCTGTACTATGGATTTGGGGTTATTTGCTCTATTACTCAGAGAGGAGTGATGAAGTCACCAATCAATGGTAGATTTGAATATTTCTCTTTTGGTGTCCATCAGCTTCTGCTTTGTGTACTTTGAAGTTCTGTTAATAAGTACATACCCACTTAGGATGGTATGTATGCAATATTTCTTGTACTGAAGTCTACTTTGTGTGATATAAATATAGCATCTGTAGTTTTTCTTATTTTTAGTGTTAACACGAGTATCTATTTATTTAAATTGTGTTTGTGTAGACAAATATGAGGCTTCCCAGGTGGCTCAGTGATAAAGAACCTGCCCGCCAATGTAGGAGATACAGGAGATTCAGGCTGCGTCCCTGGGTCAGGAAGATTCCCCTAGAGTAGGAACTGGCAGCCGCTCCAGTATTCTTGCCTGGAGAACCCCTTGGACAGAGGAGCCTGACGGCCTCCATCCCATGGGGTTGCAAAGGAGTGGGACGCAACTGAGCACTCACGCACTTAAGATGACATAGTTGGATCCAGCTTTTCCTATCCAATCTGATTATCTGTACCATCTAATTAGCACGTTTATTTACACCTGATAAAATAACCAGTGGTTGGCACTGAATCTACTATCTTGCTATTTGTATTCTGCTTATTTCATCTCCTCTTTGTTTCTCCCTCCCACTCTTTTCCTGCCATGCTCCAAGTTTCTTTCATAATTTCATTTTCCCACAGTTGACTCATTAGTTATACTTCTGAGAAGACCTATGAAATTCTTTCAGTCCGTTTGTGAAGTCAGAACAATTTGACAGAGCATTTTTAGGCGTCGTTTAATAAAGGCTATAATCTTTGAGCTGAGTTTTAAGATGAGTAGGTAGACAAGAAGAACAGAGAGAAAAGGTTGGGAAGAAATGAACACAGCCTCAGTAACCTGTGGGGAAATCTCAAGCATACATGTAACTGGACTCATAGAAGGAATAAGGGGAGACAAAAAATACTTGGAGAAATTATGGTTGAAATTTTTTCAAAATGGAAATTACGAACACATGGATTTATGCAGATTAATGAGCTCTATCCACATTGAAATGACCACTTTTCATTTGTACTCCATTGTATCCCACATATATTATTATAGAACCTGGAACATTTGAATGCACTTTTTTGCCTGTCTCCCTACACCAAATTCTGAGCAACTTTCAGGTAGAATAGTGTATGGCACATGGTACTCAAAAAACCAAAATTCTCAAATGCCGAGTGCCACACAAGTTTGGCTTATTTTGCTTATATCAGAGAGGAAAATATAACTGACTTGACCAATATTCCCTTTTCAAAACAAGTAAATACATAAAAAAATAACAGACTTAAGTGTCTAAAAAATTACTTAGGCAACAGCTACACTTTTGGACTTCATAAAAAATCAAGGTACTAATATATTGTTAACACTTAAAAAAAAAAAAAAACTTCCATTGATGCTATTTTAAAGTAATTTACCTGGCCTGCAAATTTACTGCCAGGATCAGCTGAAATAAACACACCATCTTTATCCTTTTGAAATCCACTGTGAGACCAATATGCCAGGTCAAAAGTAAACGTCTTCGTATGTCCTGGATTCTTAGGGTCTTGTATAATGGTGGTGGTCCTGGAATGCATGGAAATCACACATTTGCTCCCAGAATTCTTCTCTCTCTATAGTCAAAATCACAAATTCAAGTCAATCATTACAGCTTTCCTGTCAACCAATTTTTTTGTAGGTCTTTACATCTAGTAAGAAATTAAGCCAATAACTTACCGTTCATTCATTTTGTTCTGATTATTCTTAGCAGCTGTTAGGACAACAGTTGCTGTTATGGGTCCTCAGAATTTTTGAAAGGCTTGTCTCTAGTCATATTAACTTTCTGAGAATAGCAATATCTAACCCTCAACTATGCTAATAGCATAAACTACAGCATCAGAGATCCATTCCCAACATGACAATGTAAGACGCTCCACTGTCCCACTCTCCAACTGGTGAAAAGTATTAATTAAAAAATGAAAAAAAAAAAAGGAAATGGAAATGATTCTAAGAGCAACAGCCAATGAAGAAAGATCTATTCAAGAAATCTATCAAAATTTGGTAAGAAAGGAGAGTCCATGGTGTTTAAGCAAGATTATTCCTTCTCTCTCCACTGTCAGCTCAGCCAAGGAGAGACAACTTCAGACTGCTGGAGCTGAGAGCACAGGGCTCCTTCTCCCTGGGTCCCAGGAGGAGGGATTTCTTCCCGAGAGGAGAGTGTCGGCATTTCTCACCCTGCCGCCTTCTACCTGTGACTGAGGCTTCATGTGGGAAAGTATGGGTGAGAGGTGGGAGCTCCTTCTTTTACCCAGTTTCCACACATGGAACGGTTGCAGCGTGCTGAGAATACTAGGGTGCTGATCACACTTGCCCTGGCTCCCGAGGTGGTGGTTCTTTGCCAGGAGAGACAAAGCTGAGAAGACTGCAGGTAGTTGTTCCACACTGACCAAACACTGGGCTCTAGAGCAGGGCCATCATACAGAGTAGCTTCCTTGTGTCCCCACCCACAAATCCAGAGCCCTGGTTTAGAGATCTTGCCTGGGCACTTAACCTCTTCCCAAAGGAACTGACTTCCTTTGCCCCCTTAGAGAAGTTCCACATGAAGAACACTCTTAAGAACAGAGGTGGCTGTGATGAAGGGCAATTCAGAGATTCAAGATGACAGGTTAAAGTACAGGTTTCTCTGGTTCGGCTTCCCTGGTGGCTTAGATAGTTGAGAATCGGCCTGCAATGCAGGAGACCCGGGTTCAGTCCCTGGGTAGAAAGATCCCCTGGAGGAGGAAATGGCAACCCACTCCAGCATTCTTGCCTGGGGAAATTCCATGGACAGAGGAGCCTGGAGAGCTACATGGGGTTGCAAAGAGTCAGACACAACTAAGTGACTTTCACTTTTTTTTTGTCTGGTTTGCTGGGGAGGAACCCACCTGGACTCAGAAAAAATATCAATCACTCATCTCAGAAACTAATCCTTTAAAATGAACCAGAATTTGATTGAAATAGTTCATAGAGCAATTTGTGCGCCTGGACATTGTTGAAAACAGAGCAATCAGTTGGCAATCAGTGGACTTCACAGTTTGGTGTGGTCAAGAGAGAAAGGGGGCCCTATAAAAACTGTTACCATCCCACAGTGACCAGGTAGGAGATAAGACTTCACTAAAATAATCCAGCCAATCACTAAACAAATGTTGGGGAAGTTCATACAAGTAGTCTTGTCCAGGCTTCAGAAACAGCAATAGACCTTTGACTGATCAGAGACCCTGAAAGGAATTACATGCCAAACTGCTGACTGGCAGGAATGCTGCAAGTAGGCCTGGAGAACCAACAGTTAAGGGAATAAATAACATGAACGGGAATGAGTCACAAAACTTCCTAGGCCTTGGGAATCTGGCCAGTTCCCAGGGATCAGTGAACATTCTGAGACTTACGACTAGAAATATGAACATTTAACACAATAGCCAAAGCTGCATATTTGCATGTAAGCTGATGACTACCAGCCAGCCTGCAGCTTAGCGATAAAAGCAGGACTCCTTTGGATGGCACTCTCAAGTCTCACCCATGGAATGGATGCACTGCCTAAGACCTTCAAACTTGGGACTCCAGATTGCTGTTCCAGGAACTTCCCAGTGTTCCTTAACTCTGGATGTAGGTGTTCCCCCATTTGGTGATGTATATGGATATGTATTTCCTGCTATACTGCTTGTGGATCTTCCAACTGGGGCTGTGGCTTGAATCTGGATGTAGTGTTTCCCCAATTTGGTGATGCATATATATTTCTCTCTTGCTATATTGCTTGTCCTCATACTGTAACTTACTGTAAGAAACTTCCTTAATTCTTGCCTACTTAAAGACAAAGTGGTTATTTTGCCAGTGAATCCTCTGAACCTGAACGTTCTTCAGCAGAAGGCAAATCTTTCAGCAAAACAACAAATAAACAAGCAAATAACAGTAACAAGCTCCAGAGGGGTGGGAAGACCAGCACTCAGATTTGCTACAATGCATTATCTAAAATGTCCAGTCTGTCCAATAAAAAACTGTGACTGCAAAGAAATAGGCAAATAAGATCCATATACTGGAAGGGAAGCAACAGAACTGGCAACAAACTGGCAACTCTGTTTCTGGAAACAGAAACTGAGTGATCTGATGCAGTAGTTATCAGAAAAGTAAAAACTATAAATATATTCACAGCACTGAAGGAAACAAGATTAAAGAAATAAAGGAAAGATTATAAAGGAATAATATAAACAACTGATTACATTAGATAATTTAGATGAAATGGACAAATTCCTAGACACCAAGTATGAAAAACTCAAGAAATAGACAATTTGAGTAGACCCATAACAAATGAAGAGATTGTAGTAAAAACAAAACTACTCATGAACAAATGGCTAGGCTGCTTGATTCTATCAAACATTTATAGAATTAATACTAATTCTTCATAAACTCTTCCAAAACATAGCAGAGGGAATACTCCCTAACTTATTTTTATGAAGCCAGTATTATTATCCTGATACTAAATAGAGACAAAGATATCTCAAGAAAAAAAAAGCTACAAACCAGTATCTCTTGTAAGATACTGCAAGAATCCTCAACAAATCATTACTAACATGAATCCTGCAACATATAAACAGAATTATATACCATAACCAAATGAGATTTATCCTAGGGATGCAAGATTGGGTTTAACATCTGAAAACGTTTCTGTTTCAATTTTATGACCTTTGACATCCATGAATTCATAGAGATAGTGAACAACTTAACCTTTCGTGCATATCAACCAATCTGAAGGCCACATCCCAAGCACCTCCTTTATCTAATTCACACCCCAAGCCAGTGTTTCTCCCAACTCACATTACCCCAGAACCAGGAACCTAACAACGAGGCTGCACCTGACCAACTGAAGTCTAGATTTCATGGAAACTATACTAACTATCCAATCCTAAAACTGCTCAAACTTGCCTACTGTGCCTTGCCCATTCCTTCCTGTGGAAACCACAATAAGGGTGTGGGCCAGGCATCCTTTTCTCCCTTTGATACTTCCCTGTATGGCTACATGAAATGCTCCTTTCTCTTGAAAATTATAAGGCAGTGATGCTGAATCTGTCACATTATATCTGATTAAAACAAATCTTGGGTACACTTTAAAATAATGATCAATGTAATATGTATCAATAGAATAAAAAAAATCACGTATCATCTCAACATGTAGAAAATGCATATGACAAAATTCAACATTCTTTCATGATAAACACACTCAAAACACATCAGCAACAGAATGGGACTTCATCAATCTCACAGGGGCATCTATGAAAAACTCATGACTGCTATCATACTGAAAGTCAAGGCTGACTACTACTCTCTAAGAACGGAAGAAGACAAGGATTCCTACTCTTGATGTTTCTATTCAACATTGCATGGGAGGGTCTAGCCAGGGAATTAAGCAAGAAAAGGAAACAAAAGCATCCAGATAGAAAAGGAAGAGGTAAAATGATGGCTATTTGCAGATGATATGATCTTAGAAAATCCTGAGGAATCCACTAGAAACTATTACAACTAGCAAATGAGTTGAGTAAGGTTGCAGGATGTAAAATCAATATACAATAGACTGTTTTTATACATTTAAACAATCTGAAAATGAAATTAAGAAAATTTCATTTCTATTATTACCACAAAAGAAGTACAAAACATACCCTGAATACCTCAAAACACTGTTGGAAGAAACTAAAGATTTAAAATTTAGAAAAACACCCCATTTCATAGATCGAAGGAATTGGCATTATTGCAGGCAGATTCTTTACCATCTGAGCCACCAGGGAAGCCTATTATTAGGAGAAAAATCCCCAAACGGATGTACATTCAATTCAACTCTATCAAAAGCCCACTTTCTTTGTAGAAATTAACAAGCTGATTGTAAAATTCATATGGACCTGACAGGCATCCAGAATAGCCAAAATCTTCAATCTTAAAAAAGAAAAAAAGTAGGATTAACACCAATCTCACAATTTAGTACAACCAACAGTGATCAAGAGAGTGTGGCACTGGCATAATGACAGACATCCAGATTAATGTAATAAAGTGGAGAGTCCAGATACAAATCTAAACGTCTATGATCAACTGATTTTCAACAAGGCTGCCAAAATGAAGAACGGCCTTTACAAGGAATGGCACTGGGAAAACTCGATGGTCACACACAGAAGAATGAACTTGGATCATTACTTCACATTACTTTATATGATATATAAAATGCAACTCAAAATGGACCAAAGACCTAAATGTAAGAGCTAAAACTAAAATAGAAAATATAAATCTTCATGACATTGGAGTGGGCAAAGACAGATAAAACACCAAAAGCATAATTTTTTAAAATGGACTTCATCAAAATTAAAAATGTTTGTGCTTCAAAGGATGAAAAGATAACCCTTTGAATGGGAGAAAATTTGCAAGTTATATATCTAATAAGAAATTGTAACTAGAAAATGTAAAGTACAGCTCAATATAAAAAGATAAATAGTTCAATTTAAAAATGAACAAAGGATCAGAATGGACATTTCCCCAAGGAAGATACACTAATGGGCAATAGTACATGAAAAGATCCATGGCATCATTAGTTATCAGGAAAATGCAAATGAAAAAACCATGATATACCACTTCACACCAACTAGAATGGCTATAATGAAGTAAGATAAGTGTTGGCCTGGATTGGAAAAATTGGAACCCTCATACACTGCTAGTAGGAATATAAAAATTTCCAAGTAGGTGTAGCTGCTTGGAAAAGACTTGACATTTCTTGAAAGATAACACAGAGTTACTAGATGACTCAGCAATTCCATGCCTAGGTATATAACCAAAAGAAATGAAAACTTGTGTCCACACGAAAATCTGTAAACAAATATTTATAGCAGCATGATTCATAAAAGCTAACAGCGAACAGGTGGAAACCACCCACATTCACTGAGGAATGGATGAACACAATGTGGTATATCCATACAATGGAATATTATCCAGCCATAAAGAAATGAACTTTTGATACAACATAGATGACACAACATAAAAATGTCATGTCTTATTATATGATACGACATAGATAAACCTTGAAAACATTATGCTGAAAGAAGGCAGCCACAAAAGACTATATAATTCTATTGATATGAATTGTACACAACAGGGAAATATGCAGAAACAGAGATTAGTTTACTGGTTGTTTAGGACTAGGGCAATGAGGTGATTCAAAATGTTATAAATCTGATCGTGGTGATGGTTGCATCTGTGAATCCATTAAGTCACTAAATTATACACCATAAGTGAGCTAAATGTGTCCTATGTAAATTATCTCAAAACCATTTAAAAGGTGGCTGAGATGGTAAAGAATCTGCCTGCGATGTGGGAGACCCAGGCTCAATCCCTGGGTTGGTAAGATACCCTGGAGAAAGGAATAGTAATCCACTCCTGTATTCTTACCTGGAGAATCTCATGGACAGAGGAGTCTATAGGCTATGGGGTTGCAAGGAGTCAGATACTGAGTGACTAACACAACAGTGAAAATAACTATAGTAGCTAATATTGAAAGTACTTACTTGTCAAACATCGTGCTTAGTAATTTACAGATTATTTCAACTAGTGTTTCTAACAGCAATCCTGTGAGGTACCAACATCTCTATTTTAGACTTAAGGAAATCAAGGCTCAGAGCTTAAAACCTTGCTCAAAACCACAGAGGAGGTAAGGGATAAAGTCAGGTTTTGAACTCAAGTTCATCTGACTTCAAAGGCTCCTGATAGTCGGGACTTCCTTGGTAGTCTAGTGGTTAAGAATCCACCCTGGGGAACATGGGTTTCATCCTTGACCCATCCTGGAAGATCTCACATTCTGCTAGCAACTAAGCTTGTGTGCTAAAACTACTGAGGCAGTGCTCTAAAGCCTGCAAGTTGCAACTTCTTAAGCCCACAGCTCCAGAGCCATGCTCCGCAACAAGCCACTGCAACGAGAAGTCCACACGCTGCACCTAGAGTAGCTCCAACTTGCTGCAACTAAAGAAAGCCCACACTGCAACAAAAAGCACAGAAATGAAGAACCCATGCATCGCAACAAAGACCCAGTGTACCCCCAGACCCCCAAGGCTCCTGACAGCCATTGTCTTACAACAAAGGAAGTCTCATCAAGTTGGATCTCTGATCCCACAGTGAAAGCAAGACTGGATATGAAGTTAGAAAACGAGGCAGGGTCTAGGTCACCAAGGCAGTTTAACAGTTGTCCGGATGTGATCCGTAACTACCCCCAAACCATTTTCTGAATTCATTTTCTTTCCTCCTACTATTCCAGCCTAAGATAAACAACTTTGGTGGTAGATATGAATCAAAGAGGACCTAAATATATAATTGTTTTACTGCCCATTTCTATATCATAGTTAACTGTCCTTCAATGTGGTCATTTAATTTACTGATCACAAGTTAACTCTGACATGTTTTGAATCTGTTCCCTGAGAAACTAGGCCACTTTAGAAACCTTAACTAACGGTTCCACTTAAGTGAGATATAACCACACTCATGTCTAGTTATAAAGTTATCTAATCACACGTCTGCCTGATTCCTAAAGTATTTTCCGCAATATAGAGGAATGTTAAGGGATAGGACAGAATTGATATCAACTGAATATGTGCAAAGCAATATTTTGTATTAACGGACGAGAATAAAAGCAGCAAACTATACAAAGTGAGAAAGTAGATGTGATATGAGGTCATCATTACACTGTATCCCATTCAGAATTATTATCAAATAAGGCTTTGCATGTTGTTTCAGCATACTCTTATCAAGATCTTACTTATCTCCTTTATGGCCATCTCAAATTCTTCTAGCTCTAGGAAGTCTTCAAGTTCTGTGCAGGCAGAATGAACTGTACCCAGTCTTTCTCTGGGTGCCAAGATGATTCACATTGCCATGGTACATATTGCGGTAAATCAATAACATACATAAGACTACACGCTGCTAGAGAACATGGACATTCCTCTGTATCCTCAGTTTCGAGTTCATGTTTGATCCACAACAAATAAGCAAAAGTCTGCTGAATGGATCAACTGTTCACAATTATCTTAAAATTCAACTACTCTATTGATAATCAAAGACAGGCAATTGCTAAAGGTCCCAGAATAAGTATAACTCATATTTTATCCTAAAATGTTGTAGCAACAGTTTAATGACTGATATTTTTATAAAAAGTTATACAAATACAATTATACATAAAAGCATATAAAATACATAGAGTTCATTCAGAACTGCAAATCTGTTTGCTTATGATCTGTTGTTTTTTTTTGGGGGGGGGAGAAGTACATTATTAAAAATACATAGCACATGTCTATATTCACCAAACTGCATTGGCTTAAAAAATTATTGACAAAACATTTTTCTTGTCAATTTCTTTTTTTATTGTGCTACTTGTGCAAAGGAATAAAACTGTTTTCTGAATTATGTTTAATTTAGATCTTTAAATTACTCATTTAACAAGTTCATTTAAATAAATTTAATATTCGGTAAAGGACAAGCAGCTTCAATACAAGTCTGATAATTATTATTTAAAAAATTAATAAAATGAAAGTCATAGTTAAACTTTCAACAAGGCAATGGAACATTTATCACTAACCTGACTAAATGGCCGCACTCGTACTGCTACTTTCACACCGTCAATACTTGGCATAGGCGTTTTCATCATTTTCCCATTATTCGTAATGTTATTTGGTAGAAAAATAATGTAGAAGGTACACCACTTATGCTTCACACTGAAAGCTTAGCCAACAAAAGCTGTCTGTTTCTAGACAATCAATTATTAATGGTCCATTCATTACACACTATCAATTTACCTGTTATAATTTTACAATACTTATTTATTGATGAATTTTACAGCCCACATCAAGTATCACCACTTAATTGCACACAGTCACATTGCAGAAAACAGAGTGGTTTTTCTTTTCCTTTTTCCACATCTACTCACACTCTTTACCCATCCTCAATACTCTGTGCCTGAGGTCTTATGAGAATTTGTCATTTTAAAACCTGAATGTTAAGGGATTTCTGTGATTCAGTAGCAAGCTCCTTCACAGCAAGAATGTTTATAAAATTTGTTCAAACTTTTCATTCTATTAATATTAGGCACATACAAAGTGCACTGAATAGCCACGAAACAGCTTTCTTTTTAAACATTTCCTTTCTTACTACTCAAACCCCTTTAAGAAGTTGCTAGTGAGCAGTGAACCGGTCAGTCTAACCTGGATAATTAGTCTCTGAATAATTAAGAGACTTCAAAGGTAATAGCCTTTAAGCTTGCTGAACAAGAAATGCCAACATTATATTTAATCAATGCATTACTTGGAAAATTACTAATTTGAGGTAGAATACACAAAATATGTTAAACTACAAAAAAGTGGCAAAATTACATGCCCATAATTCAATTTCAACATAGTAACAGCCTCCCTCAATTTAAGATTAGAAGTCTTAATCACAGAAGCAAAGTGCATAAATTATAAAACAGCAACTTAAAAAAAAAAAGTCATCTTCAAACTGGTCTAATACTTTTAACTATAGACAAAGAAAATGGAACCAATATCTACTAGCATATAAAATCATTATTAAAACAGAAATCCCCTCTCAAAAATCTAACAGACACAGACTACTGTAAAGTATACTTTATTTAACATTCCAATAAGCCATATTTACATATTATATAAATGTATGAAGTCTTAATATAAAATAGAAAAAACTGCCTGGACTAAAAGAATCACACTCCATATGGAGTTACTTTACTTATTGAAGACACTGTTTACAAAAATTTACAATAATTTATATAAATTATTTTCTTCCAAATTAATGATTTTAATAATCCACACAATTCTGATGACTTTACAAATAGGTGTACATTAAAAAACTTGAAAAAATTACAGCATTTTTCTGCGTAGAACTTGCTTTGGAAAAGAAGACAACTTCTTCCTGCTCCTTCCAACAGTTTTTCCTGTTACTTCTGCAGTCTTTCTTGGTTTCCTCTTGACTCCATCAACTGGGCTTGCCAAGGGAGAAATCAGCTTAATTTCTACTGGAGGAGGTGACCAACTTTCTCTTTCTGTGTTTCTGAAATAAAGATATAACTCAAGTAAGAATAAACATGTTATAGTATAAAATGTAGTCCACTTCCCAATATATGAAGAAATCTTAGATACTACCTTTTTCTAGAGATTTCATTTTATAAAGGAGAAGTAAAATAAAACTTTAGTCAAATAAACTAATTTGAAGCAGAGTTAAAAATTCACATGATAGAAATTATCCTTTATGTTTGGGATCCTCAAAACAATTACTGTTTGAATTTTCATTTAAATATTTCATATGTATTAATAAATAATACTGCTTTACAAGGAAGGGCCAAATATCAGTAGTCGGTCCATAGGAGAGCTCAGTAGGCTCATAAAATATATGAGAAATGGGAATTCTCAAATACCAGCAATTAGAAACTATGTATGTATTTCATAATATGAAGTAGTTTTCTACATATACACAAAGACAATTTATATGTAGTGTATTAATTATAGTCAAAAGCTCTCATTAAATCAGTTTTTAAAGTAAGATAAAATGAATTACTTTGTACTTTTACGAAATTCAACCATGTCTAAGCAAAATATATCTGAAATGGGAGTAATTTTGCCATGGATAAAGTTTTAATTGCCAATAGTGACATAATCACAGGACTTTTTTAAATGACTTTTACTGATAGTTTTATCCCTCTTCACTAAAGAAAAGGTGAAACATTGCACTCCCCTCCCCAAATTCATTGTAAAAAAACAAAGCTTTGTTGAGTATTCAACTACCCCCACCCTACTGTGCTTAGTGGTGCAGTCATGTCCGACTCTTTGTAACCCCACGGACTGTAGCCCCCCAGGCTCCTCTGTCCATGGGATTCTCCAGGCAAGAATCCTGGAGTGGGCTGCATGCCCTCCTCCAGGGATTCTTCCCAACCCAGGAATCGAACCCAGGTCTCCCGCACTGCAGGCAGATTTTTTACCGTCTGAGTCACCAGGGAAGCACTTCACTCATCCTTTTTAAAGAAGGGCTCTTCATGCCATGTTAAAAAGCATATTAAAAAGCAGAGACATTACTTTACTGACAAAGGTCTGTCTAGTCAAAGCTATGGTGTTTCCAGTAGTCATGTATGGATGTGAGAGTTGGACCATAAAGAAAGCTGAGCACTGAAGAATTGATGCTTTTGAACTGTGGTGTTGGAGAAGACTCTTCAGAGTCCCTTGGACTGCAAGGAGATCCAACCAGTCCATCCTAAAAGAGATCAGTCCTGAAGATTCATTGGAAGGACTGATGCTGAAACTGAAGCTCCAATACTTTGGCCGCCTGATGGGAAGAACTGATTCTTTTGAAAAGACCCTGATGTTGGGAAAGATTGAAGGTGGGAGGAGAAGGGGACAACAAGAGGATGAGATGGCTGGATGGCATCAGTGACTCAATGGATATGAGTTTGGGTAAACCCCGGGAGTTGATGATGGACAGGGAGGCCTGGCGTGCTGCAGTCCATGGGGTGGCAAATGGTCAGACACGACTGAGAGACTGAACTGACTGACTGACTTTCATGCTATGTAAGAAAGTCACCTTTTGCAGTGAAATCTAACAATTACACAGAGCTAGTGCATATAAATGCCCCAAAGAATGACCTTTTTCTGATGAGCTTCATTTCTCTCTTTTGAGTCTTCACCAATATAATTTTAAGAAACAAAACTGAAAATAAAAATTACAGCCTGGAAAAAGTCCTACTTGCTTGCTTGTTTTGTTTTTGCAGTCCTGATTCTTTTCACTTGTTGCTTTCCCTCAGTTTCAGTTGATTGGCCATCATCTTCCTATGGGTTAAAATTTTTGAAGGATCAATATTAGCTAATTAAATATTCAAAATTTAAACTGAAAAAGTTCTATCCTGAGTCAAGGACTATAGCCAGACAGTGCTAGCTGAATTTAACCTCAATAAATAATCAAATGGACTCTGTGTATTTTTTTGGTAGAAACCTTGGTCATCTAGGACAGCTCATTATCCTGCATCCCCACACATTCAATTCATCTCCAAATCTTATCAATCTTATTCTGGAATGTTTATGTTGTCCACTGCAGTGTTCCACTGCCTCTGTCCAAATCAAGGCTCTCATTGCTGCGTAAGGATTAGACCACCATCAAATATTTTTTCCTCCCTAGAGTTCACTTTTCACTGAAATTACTTAAAACATGCACATGGTTATTTGCCAGCTTGTAAACAGCCCCACCCCCACCCTCGGGCACTGCCAGGCCACTGTGCTTCTCTATCTGCTGTCCTCTCTTCCAGCAGTGCCTGTCTCCTTTACCTTCTGTCTGCAGCGTTATCTGAGCATAAATGATTCTTATCGTTCTGTTGAATAATTATTTGTATTTCTGCCTCTTCATTTAAACTGAACTCCTGAAAAACAAGGAATCTGCCTGAATTATTTTTGTGTCTTTGTCACTGCATAGTAATGGCTCAGAGCAGATAATTCAAGAAATGCTCATGAGTTAAGATTGGCAAATATAAAGGTCTCAAGCTTATACTTAATCCATAAACTATTTTTAATTTAGAGTTACATAAAACTAGTCAACTCTGACACACTCTAAGTGTGGTCTGTGGATGACACTCCAGGAGGTCTGGGACCTGCATTTTAAATAAATACATTCAAATAATTCTTATGGGACACTACAGTCTTAAAACCTTTCCCCTAATAGGCAATTTCAACTGCAGCTGCCAATAATACACCAAGAGTAACATACCAATCTATCTTAAAGCTATGATCCCCAAAAGATAATTTTGGTCTCGAGTAACACCTGCTATTTTTAAAGAAGTTTACCTAGGAAGCACTGCTTAAAAAATAAAAAGCATGCATACAAATAAAACCATGCATTTCTTACCAGTCCATCTGTACGTTTGGATGTATTCAATGGGTTTTTCTGCCTGGTCCTTAAAGCAGGAGTTGAGGAGACAAATTGAGAAGGTAAGTCTGAAACTAATTCTTGCAGCTGTGCAGGAGCCTCTATTTTTTTAGCTAAAGGTAGAAGCAAAGAACAAAACACCAGATATATATATGCATTTTATATATATATACACACACACATATAAATTCAACTTGCCAAAAAAAGTTAACACCTGTGAAGTGTGATTAAGGGAAATAAAGCAAGGCACAACAGAAGAGGTGAGGTTCAGCATATCTGAAGGTCTAAAATAAGGTGAAATGAAGGTTTGTGGCAAGTTTACTATCAGCGCCATTTTTCCAACAGCATTTGCTATAACTTCATGTCTGTCTGGCACATTGTGGTAATTCTCGCAATGTTTCAAACTTTTCCACTATTAACTGTATTTGCTATGGTAATCAGTGATCTTGGATTGTTGCAAAAAGATTGGACTCACTTAAAACTCAGATGATGATCAGCATTATTTTTCCAATGAATTATTTTTAATACTACCATACACTTAAGAGACTGTAGTATTGTGTAAACATGATTTTTATATGCACTAGGAAACCAAAAAAATGTGTGTGATCTGCTTTACTGTGATATTTGCTTTATTATGATAGTAAGGAACCTAATCTGCAAATATTTCCATGGTATAACCTGTCAGTATAACCTGAACTACTTTGTTCCTTAATTCCTACTTCT